TGATGATGATGATGATGATGATGGCGATGATGCTGATGTTTCTTCTGATGATGCTGCTGATGGCGATGATGATGATGACGCGGATGACGATGCCGATACTGAAGCTGAAGATGATTATGCTGCTGATGCTTCTGCTGCTGATGATGATGATGATGGCGATGCTGATGCCGATCATGCTCATGTTGTTGATGGTGATAGTGTTGTTGCTGATGATGATGTCGATGGCGATGCGGATGACGATGATGACGGTAATACTAATCACGCGTATGATTACTGATCTGATGATGCTGGTGCGGATGATGATGATGATGATGATGATGATGATGATGATGATGATGATGATGATGATGATGCTGATGATGATGATGATGCTGATGCTGATGATGATGATGATGATGATGATGACGCTGATGTTGATGGTGATTGTGATGGTGATGCTGCTGCTAATGATGCGGATGACGCTGATGGTGATGGTGATGAGAATATGGATGATGATGCTGCTGATGTGCTCATGATGATGATGATGATGATGCGGATGCTGATGAAGATGCTGGTGTCGCTGCTGATGATAATGCTGCTGCTGCTGGTGCTGCTGATGCTGACGATGCTGATGATGCTGATGCTGCTGATGATGCTGATGCTGATGCTGGTGATGATGCTGCTGCTGCTGTTGATGAGGTTCATGATGACGGAGCTGATACCGCTTATGATTCTGATGTTGACGATGTTGATGCTGATGCTGATGATGCTGATGCTGATGCTGATGATGCGCTGATGCTCATGTTGATGCTGCTGCTGATATTGATGATGACGATGCTGCAGACGTTGATGAGGTTCCTGAGGATGATGATGGTGGTGATGGTGATGCTGAGATAAGGATAAGGATGATGATGATGCTGATGCAGATTATGCTGATGAGTATGATGATGATGCTGAGGATGATGATGATGCTGATGGTGATGACGATGATGGTGATGCTGCTGATGGTGATGCTGATGCTGATGATGACGATGATGAGTATGATAATGACGATGATGATGATGATGATGATGATGATGATGATGATGATGATGATGATGATGATGCTGCTGCTGATGGTAATGATGAGGATTCTGATGCTGCTGCTGATACTGGTGATGATGGTGTTGATGATGATAGTAATTGGATGCGGCGGAGGAGGTGGAGGAGGAGGAGGAGGGGGAGGAGGGGTGAGGATACCGAGGATGAAAAGGAGAAGGAGGAGGAGGAGGAGGAGGAGGAGGAGGAGGAGGTGTGAGGTCGAGCTGCCTGAGGGCCCGCCGAGCGCCGCGAGCCCTTGAGAGCCCCTTTTATTTCGCAAACGCCACCAGTTGGAATGACAACGGTATGTATTACCTCAAGCATGTTGACAGCGCCCTGGGACGGGCACACGTTTGGGGAATAGCAGAGCACCATTTGCGATACAAGGAGCTCAGCGAGGGCAATAAGCGCATCTCCAAGCTAGGATGGGCAACCAAAGCGGTGGCGGCGGTATCCACGGCCACGCTCGGAGCACGAAGACATGGTGGCGTGTGGCTCTGTGCCCAGAAACACCGAGCTTGGAAGTCACAACATGCCCCCCCCCCTTGAATGAGAGAGAAAAGTGGACCGCCACCACAATCAGGCTGCAGGGCATTGAGATAATGTTTGTTTCCATGTATTTGGCAGTAGGAGTAGGACTCGCTGGGCCAAGCGTGGAGACTATAGGCAGCATGGCATCCTTTTTGAAGGCCAACGGCCTACCTTTCATAGCCATGGCTGACTGGAACATGGAAGAAGGAGAGATGGAGGGCCTCCAGCTCACCAACTTCCTGCGCGCAGTCTGGTGCAAACCTGCAGCGGAGCAGCCTGGAGGGCACCGTGTGATTGGCTTTTGCCTAGTGTCCTAGCAGCTCGCAGGCATTATCACGCTAGAATCGGACCTGCAGGGGCCATGGGCAGCACCGCGCTTTGGCATAGCAGGCAAGATGCGGATCGCACCTGAACCAGTCATGACTCGAGTCCTGCTCCAGCCAGCGCCAATCCTAGCAGCCAGCGGCCCAGATCTCCCATGGCAGTGGCACATTCGAGCAGTCCGGGGCCGAATGGAGTTCGGCATGCAGCATGCAGCACTTGCGCACGGCAGATGGGGAGGCTCAGATCAAGTGTACATGGGGTCTGCCATGGCGGCAGGGAACCTGCCCCTAGGCAGACCGACTGGGCACGTATGAATAGCTGCGCTCCGAGGAGCCTATCCAGAGACCAAGCTAGTTGAATTGCAGACGCCCAAGCCAGTAGGATGGTTAGCTGAAACCACCTCCCTCTCCCAGTGGTCGGCCCTTCAGGCGAGGTTTCGCTTGCTTAAGGGTATGATTAGAAAGGGTAGGGGGGGAGGTCTGGTTCTTGGGATGGCGGAGGCCAGTGGCAAGCTGATAGAGGACCTCATAGAGAGGCCAGCGGTACCAAGGACCAGCTAGACCGAGCCTTTTTAACCCAGCTCAGAGAACAGTTGCCAAGCACCGCACAGGCCACCACAGAGCAACTAGCTGGAGTAGTCAGAGACCGAGACCTCATGGTCCAAAACATTGAACGAAGCCACCTGAACAGCCGATCGCAAAGTTTCAAGGACTGGATCCAGGCCAGTCTCAAGAGAGGGGCTGGAGGGCTGCACAGGCACACCAAGCTGTGGGGCCCCCCTGAGAAGAACCTCTCAATGGAAAAGGACCAGGCTGGTGAGCCCATCATAGACCAGCTCCTTAACACACAGCACAAGGCAGAGTACTGGTCCACGTTTTGGCGAGTGGAGCAGCAAACCCCGCAACAGCAGGCCTGTTGGTCGAATTTCCGTGCAGCGGCTCGCAAGCGCAGCTACGCGCTGGAGCCAACCACCTCACAGGAGGTAGCTGAAGTGGTGAAAGTGTTTGAGCCAGTCATTGAGATGGGAGCTGACAGGACCAATCCGCGCTGGTGGAGCCAGCTGCCACAAGAAGGGGTCCTCCACCTCGCCTACTTCCTCAATCTCGCCGAACAGTCCCTGGCATGGCCTGCCCATATCATAGTCAATGTGGTCCAGCTCATGTACAAATCAGAGCAGCCGGACAGACCGATCGCCCTCACCCAGGCGACGTGTCGAGTTTGGTCCAGGATCCGACGGCCACAAGTAGCAGACTGGGCCGAGTTCAACGTACAGTTCTGGGACAAAGCAGTTGCAGGCTCGAGCTGCTTGAGAGCGGCGCTGCGCAGATACATCCATTTAGATATGGCCACGGTTCAAGGCATCTCGTGGTGTGAGGTCTTTTGGGGCCCGGAGCATTTTTTACGATGCGCTTCAGCTGCAGCAGATCTGGCAGGTAGGTGAGAGGGCATGATGCCCGCTCGCGCACTGGTTTTGGCGCCTAGCCTTCATTTCGGCCCGAGGCTCTGTCGATGGAACGGAGTCGCAGCGCAGCCAGTGCAGGCGTCGAAAGGCATCCTAGCAGGATGCAGCCAGAGCGTGGACATGTCAAGACTGGCGTTATTTCAAATGGTAACAGAACATCACGCTCAGTGCATCCCAGTATACTTCCAGAGCTGGGTAGACGATGTCGCACAGGCGGCCATAGGCACGGAGCGAGACGCGATTGAAAAGACAACGAGGGCGGCGACAGCGTTCGCCAACCAGAGCAAGGAGCAAAGCCTCCGCATATCGGTCAAGAGTACGTTAGTCTCCAACCCACCCCGCATAGCCAAGGCTGTCCAATCCAGGCTGCTGCGGGTCGGGGTCGCACTTAAGGCCAGCCAATTCGTCGAGGGCCCTGGAGTGGACGGCGCGCCTCGTCGCAGGGCCACAGTCAGTGGCAAAACGCGACGGCAGGCCAGTGCCGCCCGAGGCGCGATGATCAAGCGAGTAGCCAAGACAGCCAGGAGCGCCACCGGCTTGACCAAGACTGGTTCCATTCCGCAGGCGGCCTGGGGGCTGGGGGCCCAAGGTTTGGCGCTCTCAGTGCTGCTGAGGCTGCGAGCGCAGGTATCAGGGATGATCGGCCGAAAGGATGATGGGTGCGCGACTACCGCGATTCGTGTTGCCTTCCCTTCGGTACGCCAGGGGCCCAATCGGTTTCGGCATGTTGCGACCGTCTAAAGAGTGGCTGGCGCTCCTGCCGCGACTCGCGCAGGATCGCGGGCAGGCGCTCGAGATAGCGCGGGGGAAGGCCTGGACAGCGCTGACAGCTACCAGTAAATGGAGCCGAGTCAAGGGCGCGCTCGCAGCCGCAGCTGCCGCCCTGCAAGATATTGGTTTCTCCCCGCAGTCTCCCCGGCGCTGGCGGAACCAAGATGGGGGAGAGATAGACCTGGAGAAGGATGGTCCCGAGCGCGTGCCTGAACCTGGATGTTATGGCGCTTTAGACCAGCAGGCTTGGCTTGCAGCGGCCAAGCGCTACAAGGGCAGAGGGCCTGATTTTGGCCCATATTTGCGCGCTGATCCGGCTCGCGCGCGCCCCCCCCCCCAAAAGATGCCAAGTTCGACGAGCCTGGTGTCTTTCGAATGATCGTGGCAGGAGCGCTATGGCCAGCCAGTCGCTGGTGACGACGCGGTGAGCCCCCCCCCCAAGATCCACCCCAGGAGGCCAGAGAGGAACCACCTCCCCACCAGCCCCCTGCGGACCGCCAGCATGGCCACGAGGAGGGGGGGCGGAGGTGTTCGACTTTGATGGCATGCTCAGACAGGCCCAGGAGGAGGAAGTACAGGCTTGGGAGGGCCCCCCCGGGTTGCCCGCCATGGGGCCTGGGGCTCCCTGCAGCTCCTGTATGCCCACCTGGACCAGCCCAGCTTGCCCCAGATGTCTTGCCTTACAGGAAACGTTGTTTCATCAGTTTTGGGAATGCCCTGCCGATGCTCAGATAGAAGGGGCTACCCCGAGTGCTCGAGTTCCATGCCCAGCGAGAAGCAGAAGAGGCCCCGTCTTTCTGGCTCAGAGGCCTGGTTCCTGTGCTGTGGACCTACCAGCGTGCCTCTGGGCCTGTGCAGGGGCCAGGGGTGCTAGGAGGGGCCCTCTCGGAGAACCCCCAGTGCCTGTTGGGGGCCTGCGCAGTGGTCGCGACGGATGGGTCTGGAGGCAAGTCTCATGAAGATTTTCGCTTGCGTCGTTGTGGCCGGGGCTTTGCCATTGTTGCTGGGTGGGAGCTCGTGGCGTGGGCGCGTGGCCCAGTGAACCGCTGGGCGCAGACCGTCCCAATAGCAGAGCTCACGGCCGCCGCCAACGCAGTTCGCATGACCGAGGGCCCACTGGTACTCGTAGTAGACGCTCAGAGCGTGGTCTCGGGAATCTCCAAGGGGCCCAGGGCCAGGCGCGACAGCGATCGCAGGCTTTGGGGGGAGTCTTGGAGTGCGGCAGGATGTCGTCAGATAGAGGCCATTAAATATCAAATCCCATTTGTCTGTAGATCAGGCGCAGCAAGCGGGAGCCCCTCCGCAGCAGTGGTTGGCCAATCAGCTGGCGGACAGCTTCGCGGAGGAAGTTGCCCGCTCAGCCCAGTTGCCTGCAGAAGATGCGGGGCATTCCCGTTTGATCCGAGTGGCGGCCCACATGGCGGAGCATGCCCCACATATTTACGGAGCCTCATCGAGGCAAGGTCGGCAGCGCGAGGCCAAGGTTCGGGCGGAGGGTCGGAGGGGAAAGACTGAAGCTGCCGCAGTCACCTTTGAGCTCCGAGTTCAAACTGGCGCCAGAAGAATTTTCTGTGAAGTTTGTCGCGGGCGCCCCACAGCTGCATGCCCGAGGCTGCAGTGCCTAAAAACCCCGTACAGTGGATGCCATTTGCGTTTGGACCGAACCCACAGGCTCATGAGGTACCGCGGTTTCTTATGGTGCCGCACCTGTGGGGGGGGGGCGGGGCCAGCAAGTTCTGCATCTTGGGGAAACCCTGCAACGCCAGTCACCCCATCCCCAACCATCGGGGGAGGGCCATCGGCGCCCTTGAAGAGAGTAGACTGCCTCCTGGGTATAAAGAGTGGCCCCAGCCAGACGATCTGGAGCCCCCCCCCCAGAAAAAAAAAAACAGGTAATCATGCAGTGGCACGGCCACAGCGCTACCTGCTAGGTGATTCGTGCGGGAGGACCACTGAGGGGTAAAAGAAGGAGGAGGTGGAGGAGGAGGAGGAGGAATAGGGGGGGAAGGGGGAGGAGGAGGAGGAGGAGGAGGAGGAGGAGGAGGAGGAGGAGGAGGAGAGGAGGAGGAGGAGAAGGAGGAGAGGGTGGGGAGGAGGGGAGGAGGAGGAGGAGGAGGAGAGAGGAGGAGGAGGAGAGGAGGAGGAGAGGAGGAGGAGGAGGAGGAGGAAGCGAAGGAGGAGGAGAGAGGTGGAGGAGGAGCTGGAGGAGGAGAGGAGGAGGAGAGGAGGAGGAGGACGAGGAGGAGGAGGAGGAGGAGGAGGAGGAGGAGGAAAGGAGAAAGAAGAAGAGGAGGAGGAGGAGGAGGGGAAGGAGGAGGAGGGGGAGGAGCAGGAGGAGGAGGCGGCGGAAGAGGAGGAGGGGGATGGGTGAGGGGGAGAAGGAAGAGGAGGAGGAGGGGGAGCAGGATAAATGGAGGAGGAGGCGGCGGAAGAGGAGGAGGAACGCGATGAGGGGGAGGCGGAGGAGGACGATGTTGATGTTGATGCTGATGCTGATGCTGATGCTGCTGTTGCTGATGCTGATGATGTTGCGGTTGTTGTTGATATTGTTGGTTATGATACTAATGATGACACTGATGGTAATGCTGATACCGATGCTGAGACTGATTATGATGCTGGTGATGATGATGCGGGTGGTGCTGATGATGCTGCTGCTGCTGCTGCTGATGATGATGATGATGATGATGATAATGATGATGATGATGATGATGGTGAGGACGACGACGGGGCTGATGCTAATTCGGATGATGTTGATGCTGCTGATGATGCTGATGCTGCTGTTGATGACGCCGGTGATGCTGATGATGATGCTGATGGTGATGCTGAGGATAATGGTGATGATTCGGATGATGGTGAATATTATGATGGTGCTGCTGCTGATGATGGTGCTCATACTGATAAATGATGATGCTGATGCTGAGTATGACGATGCTGCTATTGCTGATGCTGGTGATGATACTGCTGATGCTGATGATGATTATGCGAACGGTGCTGGTGCTGATGACGCTGATGATGCTGCGGTTATGGTGTTGATGATGATGAAGGTTGTGATGATGCTGATGATGGTGAAGATGGTGATGATGATGCTGCTGATGCTGATGCTGATGCTGGTGCTGGTGCTGATGAAAACGATGATGATACAGATGACGATGCTGATGCTGATACTGAGGATCCTGACGATGGCGACGAGGAAGAGGAGGATAATGATTACGGATGGTGATGAGTGATGATCGTTGAACGGGTTTTGATTGTGCTGATGATGCTTATGATGCTGTTTATGTTGCTGCTGATGATGGTGATGATGATGGTTAGCCCGCAATGCTGACGGCAACGAGCAGGCAGGCACAGGCAGTTCCGCCCGTGAGACCGTGCCGTGGCACGGCGAGAAGGAGGAGGTGGAGGAGGAAGAGGAGGAGGGGGGAGGGGGAGGAGGAGGAGGAGGAGGAGGAGGAGGAGGAGAAGGAGTTGGAGGAGGAGGAACAGAGTAAACCCAAGAGTCATCAGCGATGTTGGAATGAACCCTCCCTCCAAGTTCCTTTTTTCAGAAGCCCATACAACGGTTCATTTTCATGGAGGGAACAGCCTCGTTGGAGGACAACCGTTTGAAGACCTTGAAGCATGCCATCACATTCTTCTCGGGACTTCCACGCCACGAATCAACCTGACTGCTGCGCCCTGACGATGTGGAATCGTATCACAACGCCGATTGTGGGACTTCAAAACCGCGAATCAACTCACTGTTGCGCCCGCGTAATCCTGAAACCTTCCACAACAATTTTTGGTACGTTGATCATGGGACTCCTTGGTACCCTTGCTAATTTTTGAAAAGAATGTGCGCGGCGCTAGGACGAGAACCACATCTTGACAAAGGAACCGCCCTCAATCCGTCAAGTTCTTGCAAATTTTTAACACGATTGTGCGCGGCGTTACGGCGAGAACCACATTTTGAAAACGGCCCGCCCCGAATCCGTGCATTTTGAAAACGACCCGTCTTTCATCTGTGAGACTGTTGCCATTTCTTAAGCTTCAGAGTCACAAGTGGTGAGGACGTCTCAGGCGAAACGCCCGGCCCGCTCTAAAAACTGGCGTCGGGGTGCGACAGGGAACGATTAGTTAGGAGGCAAAGGAATGGAGGAGGAGGAGGTGGAGGAGGAGGTGGAGGAGGAGGAGGAGGAGGGGGCCTCCGCCAAAGCAGCGGAAAGCGGAAAGAGGAGGAGGAGGAGAAAGAGGAGGAGGAGGAGGGAGGAGGAGGAGGAGGAGGAGGGGGAGGAGGAGGAGGAGAGGAGGAGGAGGGAGGAGGAGGAGGAGGAGGAGGAGGAGGAGGAGAGGAGGGGAGGAGGAGGAGGAGGAGGAGGAGGAGGAGGAGGAGGAGGAGGAGGAGGAGGAGAGGAGGAGGAGGAGGAGGAGGAGCGGAGGGAGGAGGAGGAGGAGGAGGAGGAGGACGAGGACGAGGAGGAGGATGAGGAGGAGGAGGAGGCGCCAGATCTCCAACGATGCGACTTTTTCAGCCCGGGCGGGTTTCCTCGATCTCGGTCTCCAAGGCCCGTCATCGCGCCCCAGGGCCTTCACGAATGGATCCCAGGCGAAAGCGCTCCCTTGGAAAGGGGTCGGGACCTCTGGGGCTGTAGATGGTCGGACGGGGCTGGGACGAGGATAGATCCGTTCCAGAGCGTTCCGGCTCACTCCCAGAGCGTTCCGGAACGCTCTATGAGAAGGCCGCAAAGCCCGAGACATCCTCCAGAGCCGCCAGGTCTCAGAGATTCCCGATGCATCCTCGCCCGAATCTATCCTCGTCTTGGCTGCGTCTCACGCAGATGGAACTCATACCGCATCGGAGGACGCCCCCGGGGGCGCGGCGCCAGGCACGGGACCCGCAGCAGCAGCCCCACACCTCCTTGCGCCGTGAGAGAGCAACAACGATGGGCGGTGTTTTTGGCCCGCTTCTCGGCCTCGGGCGGCCCTTCGCGGGCCGCTGGGGGCCGTCCACAGAGCGACACGGGCGGCGAGAAGTTGGCAGGCTTTGTGCTCGCGCCGTGAGCAACCCCATTTTGCGACGGGCAGTTTTTGCTGGTCTTCTCTTCGTCCTCCAGCGGCCCCTGCCCGGCCTTGGGGCCGTGAGCGACTCAGGATTCGAGCAGGGGATCAACCACACAATTGATTCACCCCAGCATTGGTGTTCTCGCCGGACTTGTGGAACGTGCGTATACTGCTCGTAGATCTACGGGGCATTCTACGTATTTGCTCGCATGCTCGACGAACAATTCAAACATGGGGGGTCAATCAGCTCTGCAGTCGATCGCCCTGCTCGAAGGATGAAAAACGCCGGCCCCGGGCAAGTGGTCTACACCTCCCAGGGGTCCCCGCTGCGACACGCGTCGCGACGCTGGAGGTCTGGGGCAGCTGCGGGCAGCCCGGGGGGGAGGCACCCCAGCCACTCCAGAGTGCTGTATCAGTGGGGGCCCATGCCAAGGAACACCCTGCTTGCCTCCAGGGTGCCATGGGTTTCTTGGGCTTCGATGGTTTTGCTACGGGAAGCGCGACGCTCCCGCACCAGAAATCGATGGGCGTCCTGGGGTCTCATGGTTTGACTTCTTGTGGAAGGTTTCCTGTGGGCTGGCCTCCACTGTATTGATCAGTGGGAAGCCGACCCCAGCCCCCACAACTGTTGATTTTACATGTCCGCGTTCTGCAGCTGTCGCCAAGATGTGTTAGTGTAGGCGCCTTTTAAGCGAGGCCAGTGCCGTACACTTGGTCTAATGTTCCTCATGTGGGGTGGGGGGCGGGGGTCGCTTTTCACGCGTGCATGTATCAGGAGGGGGGAAAACACACAGACACGATTAATCGTCGATTCTCCATAAAAGATGGGAAAATATGGGACGTGGGGGGAAGACAGGAGCCCAGAAAATATGGGAAAATATGGGGAATCCTGTTATTTGTATGTTTTTCTTTGTGTGTCCTTGGGCCCCTTCAATGTGTCCCAGCCTCCCAGACCCATGGACTTGCGAGGGCTGCTTGACGCCTCGACCGGGATCGAAGCTCTCCTCCTCCTCCTCCTCCTCCTCCTCCTCCTCCTCCTCCTCCTCCTCCTCCCTCCCCCTCCTCCTCGTCTTCCTCCCCCCTCCTCCTCCCTCCTCCTCCTCCTCCTCCTCCTCCTCCTCCTCCCCCTCCTCCTCCTCCCTCCTCCTCCTCCTCCCCCTCCTCCTCCTCCTCCTCCCCCCCCCCTCCGTCCTCATCCTCCTCCTCCCCTCTCCTCCTCCTCCTTCCTCCTCTCCTCCTCCCCTCCTCCTCCCTCCTCCCCCCTCCCCCTCCTCTCCTCCTCCTCCTCCTCCTCCTCCTCCTCCAGCTCCGCCTGGAGGTCGTGCAGTGCGGTTTTCTGGCCCCTCCCGGAGGAACGTCGGGGACCCGCTCGCCCTCGGCCCCGCCCGGCCAGAGGCCCCCCCCCCCGGGCTAGCGGCCAGTGCGTGCGTTGCACTGCGGGGTTAGCATGAAGTCGGGCAGTCGGGCCTGTCCCCCTACAGGGGGATTTTCGACGGAAAACAAAAAATACACCCAAACTACTCCAGAAGCTCAAAAAATGCAAAAAGCACAGTCCCAGGACTATTTTTGTATTTTTGTTAGATTATTTTTGGGGCATTTTTTATTTTTCGTCGAAAATCCCCCTGTGGGGGGACAGGCCCGACGTAAGGCTAGCGGCCAGTGCGTGCACTGCGGGGTTAGCATTAAGTCGGGCCTGTCCCCCTACAGGTGGAGTATTCAAAAATAGTCAAAACATAGCCCGGGGACTATTTTTGGAGCATTTTTGGGCATCTTTAGAGCATTTTTGGCACATCTGTGATTTCTCGTCGAAGATCCCCCCGTAGGGGGGACAGGCCCGACGCAAGCTCAGCAGCTGGGGCATCCGCTCCATTCTGCTTCCGCCGGGCAGACTCTCGGAGGTCCGCTCTTAATCAGGAGCGAAAGAAGGCCGTACATGTACATGAACCCACGCTGGTTTCGAGAGTACGCATTGCGCAAATGTTCGTACAACGCGGCCGGTCTCGCGGATCGAGGGGCCGTGTTCATGTACATAGCTAGGCGCGTACGTCCTTTGTGGGCTCCCTACTTAAGGGCTCCCCCCCCTGGGGGGTCCTCTGGCGCCGCAGTCGAAACACACGCCACGTGCGCCTCCGCTCGGCCTGGGGCCTCAGGGCCCCAGCACGGACCGGCCCGGGCTCGAAGAGGGCCGCGGGACCGAGGGGGGCCGGGGCTCCGATGTTTTTTTTCGCGATTTTTCGAGGTTGTTCGAGATGTTTCGCGATTTTTCCGCGAGCTACGACTTTTTCGCGACGTTTCGCGATGCTGCGACTCTTTCGCGACGCTACGGCTTCTTCGCGACGGCGGATCCCAGGGGCGGCGCCGGAGGCGCCCACGGGCGCCGCCCCCGGCGCCTCGGGGGGGGGGGGCCCGGCCCAGGGTGCCCCGCGCGGTGCCAGGCCAGCCACCCGGCTGCGGGAGCCGTGGCCCCCGTGCCCTCCTGGGCGGCGCGTCGGCCATGGCACCCCGCTCGCCAGCCTGGCCGACACGGCGGGTTTCCCCAGGCGGGGGAGGGGACATGGCTCCCCCAGCCGTGGCTGGTCGGCGCCCTCCGACGGTTTGTGTCTCTGTGTGTGTGTGTGTGTGTGTGTGTGTGTGCGGTCTCTTCTTCTTCTTCTTCTCCTGCGAGGGGCACGCCTGCCCCGCCCGCCCGCGCGGCCACACCGACTGGGCCGGCGGCGGCCCGGGCAGACTTGGAGGTCCGCACGCCAGGGTAGAAATCGGGTGTCGAGGATCAAACGGCACACGGTTCAGGAGCGAGGGAAGGACGTACACGCACATGCATCCGCGTGGGTTTCGAGAGTAGGCATTGCGCGAACGTTCGTGTCACGCGGCCGGTCTCGCGGACTTGGGAGCCGTGCTCATGCACATGGTTGGCCGCGTACGTCCTTTTTGTGGGCACCTTGTCATCGTGTGCGCCAGCTGTAAGCATCAGCTGCCGGAGGCCCGCACGACTCCCTGTGTCGGCGCTGAGCCCCCCGGTGGCGCCTCCTTGGCGCACGGGGCGCGCCGGGGAGGTGGCTCGGGCGCCGATGCAGGCGAGTCGTGCGGGCCTCCGAGGGGTTGATGCCCATGCCAACCTGATTCACCTCCAAAGCCGCATCCCCCACCGTGTAGGGGCGAGCGCATTGCGCGACGCCACGTCGCTGCACCTCAGCGCTGCAGGACCGCGAGCTTCCCGCGAGGGGACCAGCCGCCCCACGGTTAAAGGTCTGCCACAGCTCCTAGGCCTCCTAGATGTCTAGGCCTCCTAGATGGTGTCGGAGGATCGTGCCGTATCGCCGATGCATCCGCGATGCGGTTCGATGTGGAGCCCAATTTTCTCCACGCCGACGTAGCCAATGCATCACCGACGTCGCCGATGCATCGTTGATACATCATCGATGCGGCGCGATCCTCCGACCCTATCTACTCCGACCCCATCTGGGAGGTCTTTAGATTGATCGACGCAGTCCTCCGGACATCCCGCTGGGGTTCACCCCCTCGTTGCGCTTTAGAACTCTGACCCGCAGGGGCAGGGTCCACACGTGGCGGTCCAGAGGAGGATCCGAAGCCATGATTGAGCAGGTCGATGCTTCGGAGGCCTGGGTGCGGGCAATAGTTATATCCACATCCAGTGCGTCTTGGCTTCTTGGGCCCTCTTCCCCAGAAACCGTAGACGCACTGGATATGGATAAAAATCTGGCCCCAAGAGGCTTGATTTTATCCACATCCAGTGCGCCTCGGCGTTGCGGCACCTCGTCCCAAAAAGTCCACGACGCTCTGGATGTGGATGGAAGTGCTGCCCGCACTGGGGATACGGCCAGGAACGTTTGCCTGGCGCGTCGCGCCGCCACTCCTGGCGCCAACCCACGCCTCGGCGCGACGCGCCAACCGCGGCCTGAGCCCCAGAGGCGTCCGCGCTCCGAGCCCCTTCCCCGCCCCCCCGCGGAGCGGAGCGGCGCGGCGCGCTATCCGCTTGCCAAGGCATCGCGTGCCGCTGGGGCCGCTGCTCGCGGCACGCGGAGCAGAAGGTCCCGAAGATCAGGAGGAGGAGGAGGAGGAGGAGGAGGAGGAAGAAGGAGGAGGAGAAGGAGGAGGAACAGAAGGAGGAGGAGATGAGGAGGAGGAGTCTTGGGCGTCTTGGAGGCCTCTTGGGCCGTCCTGGGGGCCTCTTGGGACCGCCTTGGGCCTCTTCAGCGATCTTTGGGGGCTCCCGACCAGACCATGTGCCTTCCGTCGGCGCCCGCAGCAGGCGCCCGCGCCCACGCGCCGGGGAGCGGCAGGCGCATGACGCCGCCGAGCCAGCTGGGGGCCGGGTGTGCCAGCCTCGTGGCCATAGGCGCTGCCTGCGGACCAGTGGTCCTCATGGCGTGACGTTGGCCCAGCGCGTGCGCGTCCACCCCGCCCAGCGGAGGGCCCTCTGAGCCGGGCGTTGTGCTTCTCTTTCGCGCCCGGCGGCGTCGCGTGGTGTCGGGCCCCGGGACCGCCACAGATCGATCCCGGCTCGAGATCTGCGCCAGCAAGATGGGGTCCAGGTCTCGGGTCATGATTTCTCGCCGCTCTTTGAATCGTTTATTTTCGCAGCGCCGGTTCTGAGGGTAAGCCCACAGTGTGTGTCTGTGTGTGTGTGTGCGTGTGTGTGTGTGTGTGTGTGTGTGTGTGTGCGGGTGTGTATACCCCGTTCATCGGAGGAGGGCCAGTCGAGACAGCGGCGGACTGCCCTGGCGTCTTCGTCGCCGTGGCCGGGTCCGCGTCGAAGGTGTTTGGTCCCGAGGTGCCCCACGAGGGCTCCGCGGATGCCTCTGGGCGAAGTGGGGGCCCTGGCGGGAGAGCGGCCGCCGTCTCGCCCGGGCCTCCTCCGATGCTTGTGTGTGTGTTCACCCGTTTCCGCTCTGCTGACAGCACGCAGCCCGTCCCGTGTTGGCCAGCGCTGCACCGCCCGCGTCGCATTGGAGGGTGCTTCGATGGACAGGCACACGTTGGCCCCAACGCACGTTCTGAGGGCCATCGAACAGCTCTCTTTGCCGCCTTCATGGCCAGAGTAGTCCATCGGAGAAGAACCATCCGCACAAACAGCATTTTCGGAGATCCATGCTGGCCTCTTGGATCCGCGCGGACCTCCAAACGTTTGGCTCAGCACCCGGCGGCGACGTCGGCAGTCTGCAAGGCTCTGAAGAAGCCCGCCGCAGGCGCCTAATTTTACAAATTATACAATGAGCTCGCCACAGGCGCCGACTTTTTCGTTAAAGCAATGTGGGTGGGACGCGGGGTGGGTCGTGGTTGGGTCGCGAGTGGGTCGCGGGCCGGGTCACGGGTGGGTCGCGGGTGGGTCGCGGGTGGGTCGCGGGTAGGTCGCGGGCGGATCGCGGCGTGGGTCGCGGGTGGGGCGCGGGTTGGTCACGGGTCGGGCCGCGGGTGGGTCGCAGGTGGGTCGCGGGTAGGTCGCTGGGGGAACGACGACAGCAAACAACAAACAACAAACAACAAACAACAACATCAACAACAACACCAACATCAACACCACCAGCAACAACACCAGCACCATCAACAACATCAGCATCAACAACACCAGCAGCAACATCAACTACAACAACAACATCAGCAACATCAGCAACACACACAGCAACACAACAACAACACCAACGGCGACAACAACAACAACAACCACAACCACGGCCACATCTACAACCACAACCACAACTACAACCACAACCATGACCGCAGCAACAACACCACCATCACCAGCAACAACAGCAATAAGACCAGCACCAACACCAACAACAATAGCAATCCGCACTGCAGAACCTCACTTCAGCCACGCGCCCAGGGACAGAGAATAACCGTTCGGCCCCCTCACTCCTGATGTTCACGCACATGCATCGTGTTCTAATCCTGGCCCCACTGGGTTGGTGCATGTGCGCCGCCGCGACATCGAAGACGCCTACGGCGAGCCATCGCTCCCCCCTGCCCTCCTGCAGACGCCCGTGTGTCCAAACGCTGGGCCAGGGCTTGGCCAAGCTGGTGGACTGTGCGCTCCCCCGGCCGTTGTGGAACCCCCTGTGGCAGGAAGAGGACCGTCTTGGAGACTCGGGCCGGGCGAAAGGGGGGGATTGGGAAAGGGGGGGGGTACGAAATCTGCTGCGTGCAGCTGGTTTCGGCCTCACCGAGGGGCCCATTCCTCGATACATGGCCGCCTCCGGCGCCGGGAGGCGCCGGGAAAATCAGCCACGAGAGCTGATTCTCAAACCCCCCCTTGGCTATCCCCCCCTTTCTCGCCCGACCCGAGAGACTCTCTTGGGAGTCTGGGGGGCCGCCGTGGCCATCTTGAAGTCATCTTGGGGCCACTCTGGACGAAAACAAGCTTACGGTGCACACGTGGCCCTCACTGGTGGCCCGGTGGGTTTGCCGAGACCCCACTGTGAGCTTTTTCGAAGGGCCGAGCGGCGCTGAACTAACTCTGGCACGCCAGGCACACCTTTGCAAAGCAACATGGGGTGGCGGATCGAAGACGCCTACGGCGAATTACCGCCGCCCCCTGCTTTTCGGAAGCGCCCATGCGGCCGAGCGTTGGGCCAAAATCTTGCCAAGCTCTTGGACCATGTTGTCCCCCACCTATTGTGGACTCTTTTGGGGGAACACGTGGGGGAATGAGGAAGAGGAGGAGAGGGAGGAACAAACAGGAGTAGGAGGACGAGGAGGGTGAGGAGGAGGGTGAGGAAGAGGATGTGGCCTCTTGGGAGCCTTTTGGATCATTATCTGGGGCCTCCTAGGAGCTCCCTGGGGGCAACCTGGAGGTGTCTTGGGGGCCTCCTCGGGGGCTTCTTGGGGGCCTCTTTGGCCGTCTTAGGGCGTCTCACGCAGTCGGAAGCCGCCTTGAGGGCCTCTCTAGGCAGTCTTAGGGCTCTCTTGGGACGCTTCAGGGCCATTTTGGAAACCATCCTGCGCGTCTCGGATGACTCGTTGGCCGTCTTGTCTTGGAGGCGTCTAGGGCCGTCATGTGGCCATAATGGAGGCCTCTGTGCGTTCTTGGGCCGATCTTTGTTGCTTCTGGGGTCGTCTTGGGCAGTCAGCGTCCTTCAAAGACGAACGACAAACAAATCATGGATGTTGGCCCCTTCGGGCCTTCCTGACGGACCTCTTGGAGGCCTCTTCGGCCGTCTCGGGGGCCTCCTGGGCCGTCTTGGGTCATCTTGGGGCCACCTCTGGCCGTCTTGGGTGTTTCTTGGACCGTCTTGGAGACATCTTGGGGCCAGCTTGGGCGATCTTGGGGGCATCCGAACCGTCCTGGAGGCATCTTGGCGGCCGCCTTGGGCAATCTCGGCAGTGTTGGGGCATTTTGTGGGGGACGTTGAGGTCCGTCCGCGCGGCCGGCGGGTTGGGCCGAGATCCCACTGGGAATCTCAACAAAAACCCTGACCATTCAGGAATCTGGCACGCCGTGCACCCCTTGCCAAGCCACGGGGCGGCGGATCGAAGACGCCTACGGCAAATCACCGCCGCCCCCTGCGTTTCGGGATACGCCTATGTCGCCAAACAGTTTGGCAAATTCTGGGCACGCTATTGGACCATGCGTTCCGCCAGCCAATGTGGAAGCCCTTGGGGGAACTCGTGGGGGAGCAAGAGGCGGATGAGGAGAGGGAGGAAGAAGAGGACGAGGAGAAGGGTGAGGAGACCTCTTGGTAGCTTCTTGGGTCATTCTTGGGGCCTCCTGGGAGCTTCCTGGGGGCCTTTTGGAGGCCTCTTGAGAGCCTACTTTTTGGGGGGTATTCTCTAGGGCCTCAATGAGCTTCCTCGGCCCTCGTTGGCCGTCTTGCGGCGTTCCTGGCCCGTCTGACGCCGTCGGAAGCCGTCTTGGGAGCCTCTCTTGGCCGTCTTGGGGCCCTCTCGGGACGCTTCGGGGTCGTCTTGAAGGCCATCTTGGATGTCTAGAAGGCCTTTTGGGCCGTTTTGGGGGCCGTCTTGGAAGCGTCGTGGGTCGTTCTGGGGTCATTTTGGAGGCCTCTTGGGCGATATTGGGGCGATCTTGTGTGCCTCTTGGGTCGTCTTGGGCCGTCGGAAGCCCGAAACGGAGCAAAAGCCAAAATCCTTCAACGACCTAAGGAACACCAATAATGTTTACCTCTCCGGGCCTTCCCTTGGATCCTTTTGGAGGCCTCTTGGGCCGTCTTGGAGGCCTCTTGGGGCCTTCTTGGACCGTCTTGACGCATCCTGAGGCCACCTTAGGCCGTCTTGGGTGCATCTTGGGCCGGTTTGAAAACATCTTGGCGCCACCTTGGGCTCTTTTTGGGCCACCTTGGCCGTTTTGGATCGTCTTGGAGGCATGTTGGCCGTCTTGGGCGCAGTCTTCGCTGTTGTGGACGCGATGGGGTCAGTGGAGACCAGGCTTTCCGCACGGCCTGCGGGTTGGGCCCAAGCCCCACGGGGAGTTGTTTAGATGCCAGACGTCTGGCACGCCGTGCACTCCCTGTAGCAGGCCAAAAGGGGCCGCGGACCGGAGGGCTTTCGGGCCGAACCCGCCACCGCGCCCGGGTTGTGAGCCAGAGCCCGATGCCTCTTGCGTACCTTCGGAGGCCTCCTGGAGGCCCGTTTTGGGCCTCTTTGGGGTCTCCTATGGGGCCCCCTCGGGGACCCCTCGGGGGCCCCTTGGTGGCATCTTGGGGCCCCTGAAGGGCTTCTGGGGGGGCCTCATACCAGTATCGCAGGCCATCTTAGGGTGGAGAGCCCGAAATGTCAGTCCGTGTTTCACTTTTGGGCCCCCCTTGGGGCCATATTGAGGGCCTTTCGGCGGTGTGGACGCCGTCTTGCGGCGACTTTTCGGGACTTTTGGGCCGTCTTGGGCGTTCTGCACACGTAGGTGGCCAGGTGTCTAAAATCATTGAAACACCTGAGGCTTTTCAATCATGTTGGCCTCGTGCGGCTGCTCTCAGAGCCTCCAATACAGTGGAGACCCATGCCAAGAAACACCCTGCTCGCCTCCTTGGTGCCCTGCGTTTCTTGGGCTTCGATGGCTTTGCCATGGCAAGCGTGACGTCCCCACACCAAAAGTCAATGGATGTCCTGGGGTCTCAGGGTTGGGTTTCTTGTGGAAGGTTTCTTGTGGTCGGGCCCCTACTGTACAAGCTGGTCGTTGAAAGTAGGTATTTTTGGATGCCCAAATCCTAATCTACTTTAGGCGCCTTCCTACTTCAAGAGTCGAGCGGTTTTCCTTCTTTCCTCCTATTCAGGGGGCGGGTGGAAGCCCAATCTACTTCCAACGCCTTCCTGCTTCATGTTCTTACCTACTTCTTCCGACCGGCGTGCACGGCACAAGAGGCGCCCCAAAGCGCTCCAGAACGGGCCCTCGGACAATCTTAGACACAGTGCTGGACGTGCCGAGCCTCGGCTACGCCCTCGAGGCCTCCCGAAGAGCCGCGCGACGAGCCCGGGAAGCTCCCCCGGGACCGCATGGAAGTTTCCGGACTTTTGGGGTGCGGGCCCCGCGGAGATCAGGTATCGGGGGCCCCCAGACGGTGCGGTGACCACACCGTGCGGTGAGTCGGTGGGGCTGCGGGGTCACCGCACGGTTTCGGGACTCGGGTCGTTCTCCGAGGACGTCTCGGGCGACGGAGGCCTCCAGGGTCCCAAGACCGTGCGGTGACGGACCGTGCAGTGAGGTCTCTTGCGGTTCCGAGGTCACCGCACGGTCTGTCACCGCACCGTTTCGGTTCTCCAACATTTGCAATTTTCGTTACAGAGAGTCCGAATACATTTGAACACACTCCACTCAGTGCCTCGCGGGACGGTGGCGCATATCCACTGCCTGAAGAGTCGCATCCCAGGATCTCGAGAACCTCTCGAGGAGTGGTGGATATGGATATCTGCCCGCGCCTGAGGGCGAGAAAGTAGCAACATCCACAGCTCCACTAAGATCCAAGGCAAGACTCCACCGGCTGTGGCTCTGTATTTTCCCTGGTGGTGCAGTAAGCACCTTTTGACCTCAACTGAGAAGTCTGTACACCATCCTGAAGTCCAGGTTGGCCCAGGCCAGGGATGGTGGTTGTGTGTCGCCGCCTTTGGCCAACAGGCGCCCTGACGGCCCTCACCGTCGCCTTCACGGCCTACAATGTGCGCCTGGGCTCCCGGAAGGTGTTCTTCGGGCCAGACACGGCGCGACGGCGGGGCCTTACCCAACTGACTTCAGGCCTTTTGTTGAAGGTAAATTACGCATTCTTGGACTTCGAGATTCCAGCGTACCTTAGGGCGATTTCTTGTTTCAACAATCGAAGGGCCTTCCCTAGTCCTTCCTTTTCATGTGGCGGGCCGAAGTCCAATCTACTTTGACCGCCTTCCTACTTGATGCTTCCATCTAGTTCTTCAGAACGGCCTGCACCTGCCTCCGTCGAGCCTTGGTTGGGTCGATCTGGGGCCTGGGATCACTGCCCTGGACGCCTTTGCGCAGAATTGCGTGAACACCTTTCTTGAGCCCAGGATCGGGCCGGCAAGGATAGGCGTGGGTGGATGATTGGCATCCAGTTCCTAACATGGGGACGGAGGATGAGGAGGATGGTATGGAGGATGAGGAGGATGGTAAGACATGTGACGATATTGATGATGATGGTGGTGATGGTAATGATAATGATGACGATTATGTCGACGACGATGACGATGATGATGATGACGATGATGATGATACTGATGATACTGATGATGATGATGATGATGATGCTGATGATGATGATGATGATGACGAGGAGCACGAGCATAATGATTAGTGATGGGTGATGAGTGGTGTCAGCTGAATGATGGTGACTGTGCTGATGATGCCGATGATGTTGCTGCTTCTCTTGCTGCTGATGGTGGTGATGATGTTGAGCCCGCAGTGCTGACGGCGACGAGCAGGCGGGCACGGGCAGCTCCGCCAGGGAGAGCGTGCCGCGGCACGGCGAAGAAGAGGGCCAGGCGAGGGCACCCGCCACGACCGCGCGGCCGAGGCTTGCGTGAAGATGGCTGCGGGTGATGACGATGACGATGCCGGTGACGACGGCGATGATGGCGCCGGTGACGGTGGCGATGACGACGACGATGGTGATGATGACGGTGCCGATGACGATGACGATGGTGATGCTGATGGCGATGATGGTGACGATGACTGTGGTGATTACGATGGTGATAATGATGGTGATGCCGATGACGATGACGATGGTGATGATGATGATGATGATGATGATGATGATGATGATGCTGGTAATCATGATGTGATGATTGCTATGGCGATGACGATGGCGATGATGATGGTGACGACGATGGTAATGAGTTGATGCTTAATGATGTTGATGATGATGATGCTTCTGATAGTGATGGTTGAAATTATGATGGTAGTGACGACGACAAAGATAATTATGATGGTGATGTTGTTGATGATGACGATGATGGTAGTGATGATTGTGGTGATGAAGATAGAGATGAGTTGTTGATGATGATGGTGATGATGATGATCATGCTTACTTGAGCAGGCCGAAAGATTTTCCTCTTGAGGCCGACATGACAAATTCGAAGTTTCGTGCCTCCCTCCCCCTCACTCGTCCTCCTCTTCCCTCCGCCCCCCTCCTCTCCCGCCTTCCTTACACTTCCCTCCTCCCTCGTCTTCCTCCCTCCACCGCTCTCCTCCTCCCCTCCTCCTGACCCTTCGTTTGCCCTCCTCCTCTTTCTCGTCTCTCCTCTTCTTCCTCGTCGTCGTCCTCTCCCTCCTCTCCGTCCTTCCTTCCTCATCTTCCTCTTCGCCCGCTCCTGGTTTGTGTTTCCCTACTCGCCCCCGTGCATTGTGTCTCCCGGTAGGGAAATCATTCCCCCGTAGAAGCATAGCTTGGGCTGCGGGTCCAAGGCTCCGTTGATCCATTTCCCCTTGGGTCCCTATACGAATTATTATTATAAATTTATTCCAGCAGAAGAATTGGATCTACGAAGCATCCACGCCAAAACATTGGATCCACAAAGCACGGACATTGGATCCACGTGACTCTCGCACACGCGTAATGGGATCCAAATGGATCCATGCGTTCCCATGCAAGAGGAAACAACTTTCGGCCTGGGTATGTATGCTAATGATGATGGTGGTAAGGAGGAGGGAGGGAAGGAGGACGGCGGGGATGACGGTAAACATGATGGTGGTGATGATGTTGATGATGTTGATGATGATGTTGGTGCTGTTGCGTGTGATGAGTATGGTGATGCTGGTGGTGGTGATGATGATGTTGATAATGATGATGCTGATGGCGGTGATCCGCATGATGAGGATGGTGATGACTATCACGATGAGGATGATGACGATGGCTTGGACGATGACGATGGTGATGGTGACGACGATGACGATGGCTTGGACGATGACGATGGTGATGATGATGATGATTTGAAGTCATGATAATGATGATGTTGATGATGATGGTGCCGATGATGATGGTCATGGTAATGAGGAGGATGATGACGATGCCGATGATACTGATGATAATGCAGATGATGATTCTTCAGGCTTACGCCACATCCGCCGACCCCTTGTTCCGAAGGATCCCTTGTTTCGAAGGGCGCCTCGTGGGCACATGGACAACTTCCTCATGGAAAGGGGCTCGATCGTTTCATAGGTTTACGAGCTAGGGTAAGGGTACGGGTCACTGTGCTCACCCCACCGCGCGGCGGATCCTTCGGCTATGCAGACATCCTCCGATTGCTTGTGTCGGGCAGGAGCTGGGTAAAAAAGCGCGTCTGGGAGAATAGGCAACGGCTGCTGGATTGTACTTCCGCCTTGCGGGGTTCTTCTTTTGGGATCTTCTTTCCGCTCTCGGGATAAAAAAGGTGGCCGTGGCCAACGGATTTCCTCGCCGAGGTGGCAAATGTGTTTGTGGTGAAGTACCTTTTTCGCTTGTACCTTATACCCGCAAGCCAATCCAGAAACCGAAACAATGCGAGTTCAGATGATGAGGGGCGCGAGGGGACGTTTGAAGAAACAGCGGGCTGGGGCAACGAGGTGGCCCGGAGATGGAGCAGCAGCGGGCGAAGGAGAGGAGGCAGAGGACGAGATGGAAAAGGAGACCAAGCAGCGCAGTGGCACGTGCCAGAGGAAATTTCCAAAGTGTGCATTCTCTGTGAACTCGAGCAATGTCGCGCGTGACGAGAATGAGGGCACAGGGCACACTGACAGGCAATGCGTGCACATGTTACCAGTAGGGCACCCGTGCCATGTCCAGTAGCAGTAGGAGCAACGGTGTCCGAGCGAGAGGGAGCATCCGAGAAGGCCGATGGAACGAGGAACGCAAAGAAGGCGAAAGCAGAAGAGGAGGATCAGGAGAGCAGAGGATGAAAAAGGAGGGATAGGAAAGGGATGAGGAAGAGGAGGAGAAGGGCGGAGAGTAGAAAACGGAGAGAAAAAGACGGAGACGGCGACGGCGACGACGACAACGAGTGGCTCTTTGGAGGCCTCGTGGGAGCCCTTTTGGGGCTTCTTTTGGACTTCTGGGGCGCCTCGCAGGGCCTCTTTTGGACTTCTGGGGCGCCTCGCAGGGCCTCTTGGGGAGCCCCCTGGGGACCACTTGGAGCCTCTTCGGCGACCTCTTGGAGCTCTGGGGGGCATCTAAAGCCTTCTTGGGGCCTGTTTGGGTCCCCTCTTGTGACGTCTTGGGGCCCTCTTGGGCCGTATTGGGCGCCCCTTGGGCCGTCTTGGGGCCCTCATGCGCCGTCTCGGGGTCCTCTTGGAGGCCTCTTGGGCCGTCTTGTGGTGAGCATCGGACCACGGAAGAGGCGAGAAGGCTGAACATATACGTTTTACGAAGGGAATGGGACCATTTTTGAGTCTGGGGGCTCTCTTGGGGCGCATCTTGGAGGCCTATTGGGCCGTTTTGGAGGTCTCTTTGCTTGTCTTTGAGTCATCTTGGTCGTCTTGGACCGCTCGTTTGGCTACTCAAGGCCTTCTTGGACCGTCTCGGAGACCCCTTGGTGCGCTCTTGGTCCGTTTTTGGGCCCTCTGCTCCCCCTTGGCGCGTTCGGCGGGGGGTCGTAGTCGGCGAGGGGGGGGGGGGGGGGGGTCAAATCTCCGGTTTCGGGTCCCTGGGGGGGGGGGCTCTATGGGGGGGGGAAACTATTTCACACGCCTAGAGACCCACAAGGGGTCGGCGGATAATGATGCTGGTGATGATGGTGATTCTGATTCGCGATGGCGGTGATGCTGATGATGATATGACGGGCGGTGGGAATGACGGTGATAATGGTAGTAGTGCTGATGTTGATGATGATGGGCATGATGGTGGTGATGCGGATGATGCTGCTGATGCTGAGGATGATGCTTCTGATGAGGGTGTTGATAATAATCACGATTGTGGTGATGATGATTTTGATCATCATCATGATGATGACCATCATGATGACGATGTCGATGACGATATCGGTGGTGGTGGTGGTGGTACTATTGATTGTGATGGTGGTGATTGTGGTGATGATGGTGACGATGGTGGTGATGATATTGCGTCTGATGGTGATGAGGTGCGTCTGGTCGTGTGCTCGTATGTTTGTTGATATGGGTTGATGTTGTCGGGAGCTTCGGGGGTGTTTCCATTTCGTGTATGGTCCTTTTTTGGTTTGGTTTGGGTGGCCAAGTCGGCATTCCTGACAACAACCCCCCACCATGCCCAACCATTCCTTTGGATGGGAGGAAGAGGAGGAGGAAGAGGAGGAGGAGGAAGACGAGGAGGAGGTGGAGGCTCGAGGAGGAGATGGAGGAGGAGGAGAAGGAGGCTGGAGGAGGAGGATGAGGATGGGGCTGGAGTAGGAGAGGGTGAAAGAGGGGGAATGGGAGGATGATGCGGGGACTCAGGATGAGGATGGGGATCATGATGATGGTGGTGGTGATGATAATGATGATGACGCTGAGGATGATGCTCATGGTGATGGTGATGGTGATGGTGATGATGCTGATGCTGATGATGATGATGATGATGGTGATGCTGATGATGATGATGATGATGATGATGATGATGATGATGATATGGGGGTGACCGCGATGATGCTGATCATGATGGTGATGGTGATGGTGATGTTGCTGCTGGTGATGATGCTGGGGCTGGTGCTCATAATGATGACTCTGCTGATGTTGGGCACGATGATGCTGCTGATTGTGGTGATGATCGTGATGATGCTGGCGATGACGATGATGATGCTGACGATCACGGTGCTGACGATGACGATGATGATGACGATGCCGACGACGATGATGATGATGATGCTGCTGATGATGATGCTGATGATGCTGGTGATGATGCTGCTGGTGATATCTGAGGGTGATGATGAGTATGACGCTGCTAATGAGGATGGTGATGACGATGCTGATGCTGCTGCTGCTGCTGCTGATGATGATGATGATGGTGATGGTGCTGCTGATGATGATGCTGGTGCTGATGCTGATGATGATGTTGAGGATGCTGATGCTGATAACGATGATGGTGTTGATGCTGGCGATGACGATGATACTGGTGATGGTGATGCCGATGACACTGCTGATGATGCTAAAGGTGATGATGCTTATGATGGTTGTAATGGCGCTGGTGACGACGATGATGGTGATGATGATAATGATGATGAAGATGCTGATGCTCATGATGATGATGCTGCTGATGTTGATGATGATGATGATGTTTATGGTGATGATGCTGATGATGATGATGATGATGATGATGGTGGTTGTGATGATGACGATTACGACGATGACGATGCCGTTGATGATCATGCTGATGATTAGGACTATGTACGAGGATGTTGATTATGATGGTACTGATGATGCTGATGATTGATGGTGATGCTGATGCTGCTGCTGATGCTGATGCTGATGCTGATGCTGATGCTGCTGCTGATGATGATGATGATGATGCTGATGAGGATGATTCTGATGATGATGATGATGATGATGATGATGATGATGATGATGATGATTATCATGATGATAGTGCTGCTGCTGCTGATGATGAGGAGGAGGCTCATGAGAAGGAGGGCGAGGAAGATGAAGAGTACCAGCAACGGAGGCGTTCCATTTGTCCTTCTGTCGCGTCTTTCTGGTCGCTGCTGGTATCTTCGTAGTTGTTTCCAGGCTCCATACCAGCGATGGGCAACGACACACACACACAGGAGGAGGAGGAGGAGGAGGAGGAAGAGGAGGAGGAGGAGGAGGAGGAGGAGGAGGCGGAGGAGGACCAGGAGGAGGCGGAGGCGGAGGAGCAGGAGCAGGAGCAGGAGCATGAGCAGGAGGGAGGAGGGAGGAGGAGGATGAGGAGGAGGAGGAGGAGGAGGAGGAGGGCCAGACAAGGAGTACCACGGCGAGGTCGGCGAGCGAGACATGGACAAGTGCACCAACTGGCTGATCTGACGCCCCCCGCGGTGTGCGGCGCGGACGCGCTGCCCGCTGACGGCCTGGCCGCTCCCGACCGCCGCTAACGGCCTCTTCCTGCTGCCGTGTCTTCCTCGTCGTCCTCCTTCCTCCTCCTCCGCCTTCTCCTCCTCCTCGTCCTCCTCCTCCCTACTCTCTTCCTCCTCCTCCTCCTCCTCCTCCTGCTCCTCCTCCTGTTGTTTGTTTGAGCAATGACGCTGCGCTGGGCCATCGTCACATGGGAGGTGGCAGCCGCCTGAGGGGTTGTTTGGGATCTGGGAATGCGAGGCATGGTGACGTTTGCAAGACACCTCATCGGGCGACGGGCAACTGCAATTCTCAATGTATCGATCTTGGTGTACTGTGCCCAGGGCTGTGCTGTGCTGTGCCGTGCTGAACTGCGACGTGCCATGCCGCGATTGTGCTCTATAGCGTTGTGGATCGAGCCCTCCTGGGCATTCGAATCCTGACCGAACTGATCTGGATATTGAGCTCGAGATGCCTGAGCACATGGTAGCCGCCCCAGAGCTAGTTGAATTGGAACTGTGGAGGACGTTCAATCAACTCGACCTCAAAATCCGACTCAGCTCCGAAAAAGAACGACACGACATTGGAAACGGGCTCACGGACGCGCCACAGGATGTGCCAGGGGCGCAATAGGGGATGCGCCAGGGCACGTGTCAGGGGACGCATCAGGGGACGTGCCCTGGACGTGTCAGCGACCTGTCACGGGACTGCCAAAGCGCGTGCCATGGGGCGGCCAGAGGACGTCTTGCCAAGGGACGTTGCAAGGGGCCCGCCACGAAGCGGGCAGGGGAGACGCCTGGGTACGAGCAAGAAAACGCGACAGAGGACGAGCCAGGGAACGTGTCACGCCGAGTGGCGTGCCAGGGGACGTGCCAGGGCACGTCACGCCTGACCGTCGCAAGGAACGCGCCAGGGGGCACGCCAGGGCGCTAGGGGACGCCCCACGGACGGGCGGGGTTGGATTGCGACACGCTCTACCTCGACAAGCGTTTCGCTCGAGACATCCTCAAGAAATCCTCATGTTAGACATTCGCCTGGGCGACCTGGGCACGAGAAACCAAGCGTCTCGCTCGAGACGTTCCTCATGCTAGACATCCGCCTGGGCGACCTGGACACGTGAAACCAATCGTTTCGCTCAGCACTTCCTCAACACATCTTCATGCTAGACATTTGCCTGGGCGACCTGGACACGTGAAAGCAAGCGTCTCGCTCGAGGCATCCCCTAACACCTAACACATCTTCATGTTAGACATCCGCCTGGGCGACCTGGGTACGTGAAAACAAGCGTTTCGCTCAACACATCCTCAACACTTCCTCATTATAAACATCTGCCTGGGCGACCTGGACGTGAAAGCAAGCGTCTCGCTCGAGGCATCCTCAACACATCATCATGTTAGACATCCGCCTGGGCGACCTGGGTACGTGCAAGCAAGCGTCTCATGCTAGACACCCGCCTGGGCGACGCCGGCCCCCCCGCATGTGCACCCAGCATGTAGCTCCACACTTTCCGCACACGACTCTGGCAGGGTGTGTCTCCAGCCAGCTTCCTGGCCAACATCGGTGCGTATGCCTCCCTTGCCAAGGCAGGAGGGCGCATACACCGATCCAGGACCCAGGTCTACGACGCGGAACCCCAGAGGTCTAGATAGACCTCTTCCCTGGGACCAGTTTTTCTCCGCAAGGGCTCGGCGAGGGGCCTGGGAGGTCCAGAACGGCAAGAAGCCTCCAGTCGTATTGTTTTACGACGCGAGCATACCTGGGAAGTCAGGGGCGGCCGGAGGGGGGTTCGACAGCAGCGGCTTGCGCGCCTGGTGGTGTCCTCGCAGGGCCCCCCTTTGACCGCGCACGAGCGGTCACTCTTGCCTAGGGTCACTCCTGCGTATAGTCGACAAGGGCCCGGTGAAGGGCCTGGGAGGTCGAAAACGGCTAAAGCCTCCAGTCGTGTTCTTCACGAGGCGAGCATGTCCGGGAAGCCTCCGCTGCCCGCCTCTGGCGTCTTGGAGCCTCTCTCGGCCCCCCCCCCGCAGCAGCGGCGCAGGCGCGGAACCCCTCGGCCTTCGTCATGGCGCAGCTGCAGCTGCCCCGCTTCCGGCAGGCCGGCCGGGTGGGGCCCCGCCCGCGAGCGGGAGAGGGCAGTCATCGTGCTTCGGCGGCGCGCCGTGGGTCGCGGTTCTCGGGCGTTCTCGCTGGTTTTCGGCGGTGTTCAGCCTCGGGGTGCCTTCCGGCAGATGCGCCTCGCCGAGGGCGCTCCGCGGGTGCTGGGATCGTCCCGAGCGGCCGCCGGAGGCCCGGGTGTATGGCCCGAACACCCAAACCCAGAGCCTCCTCGCCCTCGGCGGCGCGCCCAGGGGGGAAGAGAGAGAGGGGGCAGGTGTCCTTCGAAGGCGGCCTGCTCCTCAGAAGCCCTCGTGCCTCCCGAGAAGCCCGGGACGGCGTGACAAGCTTCCTCAGAAGGATGGAGGCCTTCCGAGCCTTCTGAGAAGCCCCGCCGCCTCTGCCTTCCCCACTTGGGCTCGCCGTTGAATATCCATTCCAGGATCCCTTGGCCGCGACGTCACGGAGACAGGCACGCTTCGCCGCTTCTTGGCGCGAACGCCTTCCGCGCGGTGTGTTCATGGGATCACGCGTGTATGTGCAGGGTCGTGGTGAGGCATTCAGACATCGAGGGCGTGGATATGGGTAAGGTCGTCGCTCATGGTTCGCGGGAGGAGGGCACCACGGGTGTCGTTCTCTTCGAGGAGCAAGAACGGCCTAAACACACGCACGCACAACTTCGGAGGCCCGCGAGGACCTCAGAAAGTTTACGTTCATGGCGATGGCTGTTCTTGTAGATTTGCGGAAGGAGGGCAACACGAATAAACACGTTGTTTGTTCGTCCTTTGTTAGTTGGTTTCTGATCCCAGTTGCGCCATGCCGCCAGACTCCGACCAGGGATCTCGCGATGATGTCGTTGGTTGCTCGGGTGCCAACGGGATATTGGAGAGCAACATGTTGTACTGCTGGGAGGACGTGGAGGCGGAGGAGGAAGAGGAACATATGAGGAAGAGCAGGAGGATCCATATGGCATGTACGGGTTAAACATATGATAGCCAGCATTGCACCCCCAACGGCATGCTCATGCTCTTGTACATCGATGTGCAACGCATGCGTTGCACGTTGCCCTGCTTTCTGTGTGTGTGTGCGTGGTGCGCAAGCAATGTTGCGAACGTTGTGTGGTGCAATGTGGTGCCATCAATGCTCAATCTCATTGACACTTTCTATGGCTGAGTGATTTCGGACTCGTGGGAGGCTTCGAGGCTCCTTGGGTGCACCTGGTCAGCATATCTTGGCCTCTTGAAGGCATGCTGGACGCCATGAGACACCTTGGAGGCCATCGTGGGCCATCTGGTGACATATTGGACCATCTTGGACGCTCTCACTCCTCGCAGTGGGGGAGGGGTCCAGACCCAGTGGAGGGAGGGAGGGGGAAGGGTCAAGCCCCTCCCCGAAGGGGAAGAAGGGAGTTGGACGAGCAAGCTCCCTGGCCCACCTGCGCCCGGAGGGCTGGAGGGATCACTGGACTTCTCGTTGGTGCCGCAGGGCCCCAGCTTGCGCCCCCCCCGTCGGGTCCCAGACGTAAGGGGGCCTTGGCCACTGGGCCCCAGACATGGGCCTCTGGCTACAGGGTCACGCCCCGAGGGTCCCTCCGAAAGAGTCCCTGCCCACGGGATCCCGCCCGTAGGCCCTGAAGGGCGGATCCCGTACACTGCGGCCCATAGGTTGCATCTCGTTCGCTGCAGTCCATACGTTGGTCCCCAAAATTGCACCCCTGAAGCTGCACCCCAGAAGTTGCACTCCATGGAGCGTGCTGGGTAAGTTGCATCCTACAGGTCGCCCCCTCTTCTCATCATTCCTCGTTCCCTGCTTGTCCATACATGTAGCTTTTTTTGGGCTGGACAGTTGAGCTACCAGCCCGGCTTGTTTACAAGCTGGGGCTCCAGCAGAGGTTGCGATCGGTTGTCCCCGTCGCCATTGGCCAACATGGACCCGAAGATTCAGAGCTTCCTCATCGACTTCACTTTGGGTGGCTTCTCGGGCGCCGTTGCCAAGACCCTCACGGCCCCCATTGAGCGCATCAAGCTGGTGGTGCAGACCCAGGACGCGAACCCGAAGATCCGGAGCGGGGAGGTGCCCCGCTACAAGGGCATCGTGGACTGCGGCCAGCGCATCATCAGAGAGCAGGGCGTGAAGCGATTCTGGGACGGCAACTTCACGAACTGCATCCGGTACTCGGAAAAGAAGGTGTCGGCATAATCTCAGAGGAGGAAAATTACAGCGTGAATTACCTACCCCGCTTTCGCTTCCAGGCAAAACCAAGTCCCACCACGCGCCTCCTCGTCAAGCGGCCTAACCAGTACAGGTCGTAGTTTGGCATCGCTTGGTAGCTCTTGGAAGCGAGGGTAGTCAAAAGCGAGGTAGGTTTGTTTGCCCCCTAGAAGAGGCACCGATGCCGCTTCCTGTCCCCCGTTTCCGCCTTTCGGGGCCTATTCGGAGGCCCTCGTCGCCACGGCCGGATTCGCCTCGAAGTTCTGGTCAGACTGCACCGTGGGAACGGTCCTGGGAGTAGCGGCAGTCGTATCTTTTGGTTTCCCCCCTAAACATACCAGGAAGCTGTGTGCAGATGACGTGGCGCCATTCTGGGCGAAAGCTGGAGCGATGTGTGGCCGCACGTCTTCCCAGCGCTCGGTCCTCGTATGGCCAGGCGCGGTGATCCTCCGCATGCGTGCCCAGCGAGTGGCCGCGTAAGGTCGCGCGTAAGTCAGGAGGGAAAGAAACACGCAGACACAATTAATCGGCGATTCCCCAGAAAATAAAGGAAAACATGGGAAGTGGGGGGGAGACAAAAAACCCAGAACATTACCCTGGCAAAGCAACCTAACAGCGATGTGTATAAGCATATCTGGAAGCATTCCCCTTAAGATTCAGGTGAGAAT